GTAATAATGCTTATTCTCAGCTTTTGAGCTTTTCTCCTGCAGAAATCTGAGTCAGCAAAAATAGATATCAGATGTTTCTAGAACAACAATAAATTGAAACACATCAGCTTAATTCAGGGATGTCAAACTCGCCACATGACGTGTCGTGACGTATCGTGACTTTTTCCCCATTGCCAGTAATGGAATAGGTGCAGTTTCGGCGTGATGCATCCGGCCCGTGGGCTGGCAGTTTGACACCCCTGGCTTAAAAACAGAGCAAAATCCTACTCTAAATACAATAAATACAAGAAAGACATTAAAGAAATGAAAAGAAATTTGAGCACGTGGGAATATCATTATAGAGTTGAGGTTGTTAATTATTAGAATTCATTTCCACTAGTGTTCTGTTTGGAAAATAATTTCTGTGGATCCTCTGGCATCTTAATTCTTCTACTGGTAGTCCTCAACTTAAACAACAATTCATTTAGTGACCATTCAAAGTTACAATGGCACTGAAAAAAAAGTGGCTTATGATTGTTTTTCATGCTTATGACCATTGCAGCATCTTCATGGCCACATTATCAAAATTTAGATGCTTAACAACTGACTTATATTTATGACGGCTGCAGTGTCCCGGGGTCATGTGATCCCCTTTTGTGACTTCTAACAATCAAAGTCAACGGGGAAGCCAGATTCACTTAACAGCCATGATACTAACTTAACAAGTGCAGTGATTCACTTAACAACAAAAAGGTTGTAAAAAAGGTGGCAAGAAAGATCGTAAAATGGGGCAAAATTCACTTAACATCTGTCTTGCTTAGTAACAGAAATTTGGGGCTCAATTGTGATCATAAGTCGAGGACTACCTGTATAGTGTTCACAGGTGTTTTAATTACTTAACATCCTTTATTTTAAATTCGCAATTAAAAAACGTGAGCAGAAAAATTGTGTTCTTGCATGAAGTTGAGCTTTTCAGATTAAACCACATAAAGATTTTAAAAGGACTTAGTAACCAGTACTAAACTTAGTTGAAATAACACTGATTGTTACAGTAGAAAGGACTATATAGCTACCACCAAGCAATTTTTCCATGCAATGGAAAAAGCTTGCAAAATAAAATGAGTATATATAGACTATACACCCTGGTGGATTTTAAGCGTGTTGGTCTTCAGTTCCCATTATTCTCAGGCACTTGGAATTCTAGTAGTTGAAATCTAAAACAGTGTTTCTCAAACTTGGCAACTTTAAGATAACTGGACTTCTCTTGCTGGCTGGGGAATTCTGTGAGTTGAGGATAACAGATCTTAAAAACATTGATCTAAAACAGTGGTTCTCAACCTTTTTAATGCTGCGACCCCCCAACCGGTCGTAAGTCGAGGACTACTCAACCGGTGCAGCACCGTTTGCAGAATGGGACTTTTGGCGGGCTCCGCAGGGCAGAGACAGCCTGAACAATTCCTATTGGCTTTGAAAGCCAATAGAATTAGACTCTATTCAAGAGAGTCTATTCTATTGGCTTTCAAAAGCCAATAGAATAAAAGGGAGTAGCACAGCTAAGGAAAAGGGGGAGAAAATGGCAGACTGCGTTGTTTGGCGACCCCCGTGAAATGGTCGTTCGACCCCAAATGGGGTCCCGATCCACAGGTTGAGAACCGCTGATCTAAAACTTCTAGAAGATACCAAATTAGTGATATTTGCTCTAGTGCTATCAGATTGTCTTCTGCTGTGATCAGAGTTGCTATTCTTGAAAATAATGTTCTATTTATTAATCCTAAACGTCTACCAGTCAACAAGTTTTTCATGATAGAAGGCTCTTCTCCTTTGTGAATCACAACTTACTGCTCCCTGTACATATAATTTTCTATTTATCAAGCTGACTTTTCTTCTGCCTGAAGATTCCTTTGCTCGAGGCATTGTATTATATCGTGGATTTGCTAAACTACAGCTTCTTGAATAAACCACACTTGCTAGAGTTTATACAACACAAACCTCTGTGGTTAGGTTCGTGCAGTATACTACATCAGAAACATAGAAATTACTTGATGTAAAAACCCAGCTGAAAGGAGCAGTCAATCAATTCCCTTATGTCTCTCTAGGCCTTTAAATGTGAAACCTGAAAAGTTTTTACTGTGTGCTGTTTTAAAGCTTCAAGGAAACTTTAACTACCTAACTTTTTAAAATGTGACTGTTCTGTACACAGGTTTGATAAGAGGAACATCTGGCAAACCATGTTATTAGTCTCAATTTTATTCTTCTACATTCTTGTCTTCTGAAGCTACTGTCCAAATCTTTGTGTTTTTTGGACAAAGCTTGTTATGGAATTGTCATTAAGAGTTGCTTCTTCCCTTCCTCCCCCAAGATAAGAAAAAAAGTTAGGAGAAACAGTGGCCCAGACTACTCCTCCATCTCTTCTCTTTAGGGAGTGAAATCTTCAGTCTTGTCTTTAAATCTCTAATAGTAAATACGTAACTTACAGGTTCACAGAGATGATTCACAGTAAGCCCTATACGTCATATAACAGATTCCTAAAGCCTCAGTTAAGCCTTATTTTCTCCTCCTGATAAATTCACAAGTAGCAATGTGGACTTGCTAAGCAAATTAGAAAATTGCAGATTCCTCCCTTATCTTACTGGGCCTTTGGGAAAATTTTTGCCTACATTGGGTCAGATTGTTTATTCTAGTGTAGTGGCCTTACAAGGGAAGATTATAGCTAAACATTAATATATTATAGAGGTTTCTTTTTAAAAAAAATATCTATTATGCAAATTATTTTTCCTAAAATCTCAAAACTATTTGTTCTAATTAAACTTCACTGCAGTGAGATTTTGCAAATCAGATTTAAGTTGAAGTAGAAATCAGAAACATATAAATTATTGTATAAATTAGCCAATTAAATTTAAAATCGAATGTTGAGATTTATTTAGCTACAGTGTAGGAAGGCTCTGAAAGTAGAAATGTGTTCATTTATACTACTGAAATCCTGTAAGACTTCTCTTTCCCACCTCCACTTTTCCACCAGCATTAAAGATTTTGAAGGTTAAAGGCATTTGTAACATTCCAGTACAGTAGTCTTTCATCATAAAATAATCAAATAAATAACATTAAGACTTTTATTAAACTGGGCAGACCCATTAGATGGTATTAAAAAGAAATTAATCTTGAGTGAGAATGAGAGAAAAAATATAATTAAATTTTTGGTTCATATGTAGAGAATTTTTATTAGATTAATGTAGTTTATTCTAAATTCTATTATCTTTTGTCACATTTTATGACAATTTAATTGAAAAGTTTGCATTTTTAGTAGGTGTGCAACTGCCATATTTCCAGCTTTTTCAGGAGAAAGAATTATATGTTTTCACCTATTAAGTAAGCCTACTGGGAAAAGAACCCAAATCCTGCAACCCTCTTCCCCATCTCTAACCCTCCAGTGTGATTGATCCCTATTTATTTATTTGCTTGCTTGCTTGCCACCCATCTCATAATGAAAGGACTCTCAACTATCTTTTTACTTCATCCCATCGATTATAGCCTTGACTCTGCTTCTGGATCCCAATGCTGTAGGGTCATTATCACTCAAACACTGCCTTCCACTTCATTTAATTATGGATAATATTCTGGATGAATATGCAAGATATTTTAAATATCACCTGCTTGGATATAGTGTAGTTTTTTATGTATTTACTGGCTTGTGCGTGACCGCTTTTGAAAAATTACCTAATATACTGGTAGGAAGCCATTAGAATTGCAGATGTTTTCATCCTCTCAAGGAGTGTAAGTGTTGTGAACAAGTAAATTGGGGAAGGTAGTGGGGGACAGATAAGTTATACTGCTGTAGGGGTGTCAAGGAGAAATTATCTATCATTGGATCATATAAGAATACAATACTTAAGGGCAATGTTGGAGAAATTTATGATTTGGAAAATGAGGAAGAGTCAAAGAATATAGGCCAGTGATGGCAAACCTTTTAGAGACCGAGTGCCCAAAAATTGGTCCCACCCCTGCTCCACCCCCTGCCCTGCCTCCACCCCACCTGCCTGCAGGGCCACTCACCGCCTCCAGGGCCCTCTGCAGATCACCCAGGCAGCCCAGCAGCGCCATGGCAGCCACGCCCTCTCCCCGCGCCCTGCAGCATCAACTGTGCGTGATGGGGTGTTTAGCAAAGGTTGCTTAGAGTAATGAAAAAAAGGCTTCTTTAAATATGCTAAAAGTAAAAGGAAAAGAATATTAGTTGCTCAGTAAAGACCACAATATTCTATCAGGTCTCAAAGAAAAGGTTTGGTCTTCTGAAACAAAAAAGAGTATTCATTCTTCCAATGGCAGGGCTGAAGCTTGAAATTGATAAAAACCTAAGTCAGGGAAGACATCTTTACCTTGAATAAGTTTAAATATCTAGAACCAATTGACTTGCATTCTAAGGTGCTGAAGGAACCAATTATGTTACATAATCCTGAAGAATTTTTAACATGCTGGATCATTTAGAGGAGAGCAAATGTTCTTATCTTCAGAAAGGAGGATTTAGTGAACTATAAACCAGCCTGATATCAATACTTGGAATCAAATGCTCTAAGGATCATGGAACAATTCATAAAGAGATGAATATGTTATGTTGTTTTCTTCATCTTCATGACAGCCAGAAAATAAAGCAAAAATGTATTTTTCCCCTTGGGATGTATATGAATAATTTTATATGTGGAAATTCACATCACACCAGATGAAGTTTTGACTTGGATTTAATATTATGCAACTGACTTCTACAAGTACAACAGTATTTGCCATTATTGTTGCTCTCCTCACCCCAATCCTTACCTGTATTCCAAATCAACTCTGGAGAATCCTCCAGCCCTCCAGGGAAGATTTGAAGGATATGTGGGATAGAGGTGCAATTAAGAATCTGCTCTCTGGCAGAATGACACAATTAGGCAACATTCTTGGTTTTCCAATCGTTTTATACCGTGACAGAAGTGATGCAAAGTTAGTGAATGTTAATTAAATGAATGTGTTCTGCCATTTGTTCATTTTAGGAAAGCACAAGAAGGAAAAAAGAAAATTGTTCTAGCTGGATGTGTTCCACAAGCCCAGCCCCGACAAGACTATCTGCACGGACTGAGCATTATTGGGGTGAGAATATTATGGCTTGTATTGAAATTCTCTCAGAACCTGACGAGTTTTAAGAACCTAAAATGTAATCTAATCTCAAAAAGTTGTTTCTGAACATCTGCCTAAGATTTTACCATATCCTACATTATACCATAAACCTGGAAAATTGGTGAATTATAGGGAACAGGATTGTACACGCTTCAATGTAATATTTATACTGATCTTGCTGATGGAACTGCCAAATGCTCTCAGTTTATTCCTCTCCGGTCAAGAAACTGATGTTTTTAAGTTAAATTGACATCAGTAAGGTTTTCTAGAATAACAACATCCTTTAGCTTTATTTGACAGTTTTGGAATTTGAACATTCCTTGAACACATCCCATATTAGGAGAAAGAAGAGATAATGCACTCACAAAAAAGCTTTGGAGATTTGTTCCCTATATTTATATGCAGGTTGTCTCAAACATGTATAATCTTTCCTAGAATTTTTCATATTGGATTGATATGCCCTTTGTTTAAAATGGTCGCACTGAAAAGGCAGTTTATCCAGACATTGACGTAAACAGGTAATCAATAAGATACCTCCCCCTTTAAGTAAAGGTTTGCACACTAATTTGGAGGGTGTTTTGATGTCAATTTCCCGATCTGAATGTCATAGAGGAGCCATCTGACAGATTGAAGAAACACAGTAGAATGGGTACATTGGAATCATTTCATATATGATTAAAGGAGTGTGCTCATAAAGTGATATAGATCATATGTCAGACATAACAACTGCAGGGAGGACAAGTATCACTGAAAAGGTAAGAGTAAAGGTAAGCTTGAGGGCTTGGAATTACGGGCCATTGCCCAAAAAAGTAAATTGGCCTGTTTCATCCAATGCTATGTCATAATGTGATTTTTTAAAATTTTGTAGTAATATGCAAAGTACAGTATATTTATTCTGAGTTCATTTTATATGCAGATCAAGCCACTGTGGCTCTTTTAACACAACATAGTTATATATTCTGACATGTGTGAAACTGGCATTCCCAAGTGCATTTGCTAATCTCATTAAACACAACACATGCTACTTCCAGCTGTGACCAAGATTTCACATTAAACCATTTTTTTTAAAAAAAAAGTATTTACTGATAATGATTGGATTCAAAAACATGTGAATCCATAAAACATGTTTATCTATGGGGCATGGTGGCTTAGCAGTTAAGATTCTGAACTTGTCAGCTGGAAGGTTGGCAGTTCAAAGCCCAAGTACCGTATGACAGGGTGAGCTCCCGTTCTTACCCCAGCTTGAAAGCATGCAAATGCAAGTAGATAAATAGGTACTACTTTGGTAAGAAGGTAACAGCATTCTGTGCGCCTTGGCATATAATCATGCTGGCCATATGACCATGGAAATGTCTTCAGATAATGCTGGATCCCTCACCTAAGAAACAGATGAGCCAACCCCCTAAAGTTGGGACAAAACTGGACAGGGTAAACCTTTATTTTTTTCCTTTTTTGTGGTTCAGTACAGGAATTAGTATTCTTTTCAGGCAGTGAAAGGCACTTTGGCTATTTCACACAATGGAATAGTTATATACACAGCATTACATTTGTTCAAAAAAGCAATCTGAAGCTTTTTGACATTCCTAGATCAGTGGTGGCGAACCTATGGTACGGGTGCCAGAGGCGGCACTTGGAGCCCTCTCTGTTGGCACACGTGCCGTTGCCCCAGCCTTGCCTCCCCCCGCAACCCCCTCCTCTCCAGCAGCCCCCCTGAAGGAGAGTCACTCTCAAGAGTGGCCCACGCGGAGCAGTGCAGCCAAGGACATGCAGCCAGACAGCGTAGACAAGACTCTGCCCTCACGCCCCATCCTGCACAGTTGATGCTATGGGGCGTGGGCAGAGGGCGTGGCCACCATGGTGCTGCTGGGCGATCTGTGGCGGGCACTGGAGGCGGTGAATGGCCCTGTGGGCAGGCAGGGCATGGGCGGAGCGGGGGCAGGGCGTGGGGCAGGGCCAGTTTTTGGGCACTCGGTCTCTAAAAGGTTCGCCATCACTGTCCTAGATCTTTTTTTTTTTTAATTTCAGTTTATAGTAACCAATCTCATACGATAAACCTGGTTGTATATATGTATATGGATGTTCTCCACTGGATTATTTATGGTCAGACATAACTACTTACAGTAATTCCATGGCTTGAAGAGGAAATATTTTCATTGAGATTCTTAGTGAATGTTGCTGGTCCTTGTAAACTCTGAACTTCTAAGCATTATATATGCAGCTTTTTTTCTGTAGACATTTTAAGTGACTGAGCTGTAAAATTGCTTATTGGGCTTTTTAGAAAGAGACTGGAGTGCAGAATTTGAATGTCTTCCAAATTTTCTACCACTATTCTCTTGTTCAGGGATGCTGTCAGTTCTTGCTAATAGTACAGCTTATTGGCCACCATTCATAATTATATAAATTCTCTACTTTGTAGATTTATGTAAGCTGTCTTTCTTTAAAAAAAGCCTGCAGTGATATTTCCTTTATAATTGGTTCTTACTGCATTGAGTAATTCTTTTTGCTGGCATGAAATTGGTGCTAAACTTTGTTGTAAGATGGCTTTTATATTTTAAGAGCACAATATGAGTGCAGTAAAACATAGGCATTGACTTTTATTTGATTCCCTTTTCAATCTGTCTTGCAAGCAGAAACATGTAAGTAGAAAGCATATTGCAAAAAGTGCAGGGGCTCCTTTATGTGGATTAAATACATTCAAGAATATATTTGAAAAAGGGTCTTTCAAAGGTCATCTGAATATTCACAGCTTGATTTATTAATTTATTGCGTTTCAGGTTCAACAGATAGATCGTGTAGTGGAAGTCGTTGAGGAAACTATTAAGGGTAAGCTATTCAGCTGAAATAATGCATGCATTCATTCTTCTCAGTGCTCACTCCTGATGTTGCTTTGATCGCATACAGTATATCCCTAAGGAATCTCCTGTTGAAATCGGCCACATACACATTCAAAATACTTACTGAAATGTAAATATTCAGCAAGTGCCACGTACATCAGAAAAACAAAATATACGGAAAGCTGATCCAAATTAATATAGATCACCCTAGCTGGTTTGCTCAGTAATTGTTTTTTTAATATTTAATACTTTTTAACAATTTGAATTTCAGTGTTCCTTTTTATATTAAACAGATCGTGGTGTGTTTCAGACAAATTAAGGTTCATTTACTGTAGTATTTAATTGTATCAGATGTCAAGTGTGGCATCAAAGATACATGGGGTTTTAGAATGCAGAAAAATATGGTATGAATTTTATAAAGCAGAAAGTGCCTTTATTTTCTTAGTTCATATAAGACTCAGAAGATATAATTTGAATAGAGAATAAATTAAAATGTTTCTATACTGAAAATAACTGGTTTGGAGTTGTAAAACTAGCTTCTTAATGGCAGCTGATCTCAATTTCGGACATTGCATCCTGTTTGTCATTTGGATCCAATTGTTATAAAAATCTTAATTTCCAACATAATCTATGCAAACTTTGCCAAGATCATTAAACTGTAATGTAACAAATTACCTTTAAGATGATAGTCAGAAGATGTTAGATAAAAATATTAAAGTAGGGGTTTTGGCAGTATACATATAGTCCATATAAGATAAACATACAGAAAGAGAGAGGAACATGAAAGTACTTATGAGAGACTATAAGTGACTTTGAGGTTTACCTTAAGGCTTTATGAAATAGGAGAGGGGTCTAGCGAAAATAGCCTTGTGCAGAATGCACGCAAAGGCTGTATATTTGGGAGAATATAGATATTTGCAACATCTATACAGAATCCTCTAAGCCTTCCTTCCAGAAAGGTATCTTCTACGGACTGTTTTTTAAAAACTGTAAACCAGAGATGCAGGATTTTAAATTTCCTAAGTTAGCAGAATGTAATGTAATAAAAGAATGGCTTAAAAGCAGTGAAGTCTTGTACTGGACAGCCATTTGTCTGAAATGGTACAGGTTTCCTGCTTGAGCAACGGGTTGAACTATAAGACTCCAAGGTCCCTTCCAACTCTGTTATTCTATTATTAAAATATAACTTCTGATGCCCATCATTGTTCTGAGCAGAACAAAGAGGAGAGAGAAGAATGGGAAAAGAAAAAGATAAAAGATAGCAAATTCAAAGGTAAAGAGGAATAGAGCAAATGAATGTTAAGGCAGAAGCCTCAACTTCTCAGTTTCCATGCTTCCCTTTGAAATACTGTATGTAGATAATAATGATAGACTCGGTCCAACAAAACATAGTATGAATTTTTTAAAGTTACATATGTGAAATATTGTCATTTAGAATTATGACTTGTGACTAGATTGTAGACTTGCTTAACATCTGGCTGACCAATTATTGTAGCAGGCTGAATTGGGAGGAGGGGTGAAACGTGTAGAAATGCACCAGACATGTATTCCTCAGGGCAACTGTTGCTTGTCTATAAAAACCCTTCTCTGTCCAATTCAAAATTTCCTTGATAGGCGAAGAAGGAGTTTAGCATTCTTGTTCTAATATTCCTTCTCGTGTGAGACAAAGTCAAGTTTTACAGCTTATACTGCATGGAATTTAGAATGCACATCTTATATTCCCATTTCCTGTATTTATGAAACAGAGTGGACATTAGAAATATAATACTACCTTCAACTATTTTTTACAGTATTCATAAAAAATCATCCCTAGGCTCTTGCTGTTTTAATGCTGTGATTATTAGCCAACTTGACCACTTGTCCCGACATCATAAAGCTTCCTACAAAATGTCAAAACAGCTGCATTCTGTCAAGTGTATCCATATTGGATTAAGAGAAGACTAGACTTTCCAGTTGAATAAAAACTGCACCGGTCCTGAGTTTCACAGAAGATTTTGTGAAATGGGTCACTGGACAGAATTACTGTAAACAAGTAAAAGGAAATTACTTCAGTTTTGAACTTTTTCAGACTTCGTCTCACCCCTCTAAATCTCAGTCACATTAACCTGTCTGGTAATATGATCTATCTTTTCCTGGTTTAAATATTAACTAATATTTGCCAACTGTTTAGCTACCACACCAATCAATCTGTTGCTATTGGTGGGCCACTAAAAACTCACAAGATGATCTGTGTGTATATTGTGTAGATAAAGTAGAGAATGTTTATTGACAGCATGTCTATCGGTCCAGACACCAGCATAAAAGCAAAGGAGAACTCTCCTGCATTCTCCTTGAACTGTATTAAATGTGACATTTCCCCTCCCCGTAAGTTCACTGCCCTTTTGGGGTGGGAAAAAGACATCAATTTGTGAGAAACATACAGGTATTTTTTGCATGCACTAGAAAGGATGGCTTACTGCAGTTTCCTAGTGCTATGTATACATGACAGAAAGTATTTTACTAGCACTATTGATATTTTTTCATATACCATAATTAAATCTGTGAAAGAAAATATTATAAATTCAACATCCTTACTTTCTGTGCTGCTTTGGTCATATAACTAAAGGATATTTTAATTCTGTACGTGCTATGACTTTTTTGTAACAGCATGGATGTAGATTAGCATAGTGCTAATTAACTGTGGTAATTACTCATCAGTGTTGCAAGTCATTATAACAAGGGAACCTGTAGCTATTCAGGAAAAGACACAGCTTCTTTGAGGAGCTGTTGATAGGTATACCAAATACCCATGTGGATCTGAAGCACTTTTCCCATTTCCAATCTAAACAAAGGCACATGAATCACAGGAAATTAAGCTGCCTGATGAGAGTTAAACTAATAGAATAAACTCTAAAGAAGAAGTATTAAAGTCTTGAAAATGTTTTACTAGAATTCACCACTGAACTGGAAATTTTAACTTGGAAAAGTAGAATAAAGGTGTATTTGTAGATAAGATTAAGCCAGAATTGTTGAAAAACCCATATTGTTTTTGTTTACACAAAATGTGTGTAATCATGTGTGAGTTCATGTGTCACACTATGAAATATTAATAGAATCTGTATGGTTTGGGTAATTGGAGAACAGCTAATGAATAACTGAATTCTTAATCTGATAATATCTTTCATCAAAAGAATATTACCTTAAGATGTGTGCGATCCATAATGATATTCCCACCATTTAATTTGTAAGTATTCAGATACTGAAGTTACATACTTACCACTGTGTTTTTCCACAGTATCTTTGAATATATATATTTTTTAAAGAAAAAAGAAAATTATAAATCACCATAATAAACTGAGATATGACAATGTATTTCCCAGGTATTCAAGCTCTTAGTTCTCTGATGAATGAACCAAGAAACTGTGGCTATTGACTTTTATTAAGCCATGATATTAAACTGCAGTTTGAAATTAACAATCAGTTAGAACAAATTCACTGAATTACTGCAGTGTTTGTTTAATAATCGCTACAAAAAAACGTCAAAAACTTGGGTCCCGTCATGTGATGCCTTGACTTACAACCACAATAACGTACAACTATAAGTTCAGGCTCAGTTACTGTTCTAAGTTAAGGACAACCTATATGTGTAGATAGACAGTTTTTCTTATATAGTAATATAAATTGTAATACAATTTAATCATTTGAGTTTGCTACCATCCCTCATACAATTCATTGGTTCTATATTTATTTGTTTTGGTAAGACAAAAAATTAATATATACGGTAGGCCCTGTACTGTTTAATTGCTTAATCAGATATTAGTTAATATATGAAACTAATTGTATCAATTAAAAGGTTTCCATTTTTTCCATTTAACAAACAAACAAATAAATAAATAAAAGGGTTAAATCTCAAAAAGTTTTAATTATTTTTATATTTATCTGTTTACATTTGCAAGATGTCTAGAGTTATCTTATTGGTGATACGGGCAACATATGAATTTAATAAATATAAATAAATAAAAAAGCTTTCATTTAGATCACTACAAAAGGGAACTTTTTCCAATATTAGCCTCAGTATTTGTAAAAAGAAAAATCAACTAATAGTATAAAAAGCTTATTAATCTCCATTTCATTGTTTTAGTTTTATTAAAATGTTTAATGACTGCGTTGGTTTAATGAATATCATTGAAAACAAGCATGTAATTTTTTGCCTATAATGTGAAATCATATATTTATCATAAAATATTTTGTATCTTCTAACCCTGCTTCATCAGAAAATTAATAAAATGAAAATATACTTTACATATTTATGAATTTTAATTAATACTATTATTAATCCAGCTTTGTTGGATTAATTAATAGTTGCAAAGAGTTTATTCAGAGCTTTACCCTTTCAATAGTTAACATTTGCCAATTTCCAAAGGGACCTGGACACAGTCCATCATGGTACTTGATGTGTTTGAATTTATTGAAATGTATGGGTTTCTGATTGTAGATTTGTTTGCTTGTTTGTGATATGAAACTTTTTTAAAAGGACGCTTTATTTCTTTAGTATTCTTCGAACATTAATTTTCATTTTGTATTTTTAGCTTTGTGATGACTCAGATATTTCCAACAATGCAAAGACTTTACATTTATTTTAATTAACAAGTAGAATGCATATTGTTAAATCCAAGAATCTTTTGTAAGTAATAGCATTAGAAAATAGCTAGTTATTTAATTAGCTAATGATAACACCATCATTAATGTGATATAGCAAGAAAGAATAATTAGTGAATACTACAGATGCAGGCTGTACATTCTAGTAGTCTATAATGGATTTTTTTTGGGCGTACTGTATCATGATGTGAAAATAACAACCTTTTTCTAAATACAGTACTATTTAATCTCTCTTACTGTACTGATGTATTTTACAATTCTTTATATTTTTAATAAAACTGGATTCTGAACCATAAATTTTAGCTTTGCTCTAAAAAAGCTAGTTTGCTAATTGTTCTACTTTCCTTGAGCAATATATCAGTGAAGAATTCAGTAAATTCTTCTCATGATAGTGCTAAATATTAGATTCCTTGTGCTCAGTTCACAAATTTAAACTTGTTTAAGGAACTAAGAGAAGGAGACATCCCACTAAGCCAGTTGTTTCCTAATTTTTTTTGGGGGGGGGGATTTTCTGGAGTTCTGAGAATATGGCATGAGAGTTGTTTTGATTGTGTGGCCAATTGTAAAAGGAAAGATCAGATGAGTTGAAAGCCTTGAAGGAAACAAAGGAATGCTCATGGAGATTGTATGTGAGCATACAGCCACAGAGTTAGACCATTGGTTTGTTCAGTTCAGTACTGCTGACTAACATCAGATTTCTAAAACATCAGACAAGGGCTTCTTCAGTCCCACCTGAAGAATCTGCAAAGCATTGGTTCTTCTGTTGAGCTATAGTCATTCCAGTTTATTTGGCCTTATAGGGCAAATGTGATTATTTTGTAGATCATATTGTGTACAAATAGCTCGCCACACAGAGAAAGCCTTCATGCAGCAGTACTATACAATGTCTTTGGATACAATAAGAACATAAAGTGCAACCCACACTTATTTGATACTGATGCTTCTAATATTACTACAGTTTTTTGTTTTGTTTCTTTGCCAAAAATGCATCATATATTTTAGTCTGGAAACTGTTTTCTTTGTTATGCAGTGGCTGGGTTTCTATGATCATGTCTACCCTTTTCCCCCTCCTCTTTGTGATGCAAGCAAAGAATGGAAGTCATCCATTTATTGTTTTCCCTCCCTCCCTCCCTCCCTCCCTCCCTCTCTCTCTCTCTCTCTCTGTCTCTCTGAACTTGGGTTCATCTATTGTGCTAAGCTATATTGTCTTTAGTTTGGTTTCCATACGAAAAATTGTTGGGTATTATCATATATGAACCCAGCTACGAAGTAAAATTTTAGCTTGCTCCATAACACATCCAAACACTACTGGCATTAATACTTGCTATATTTTTAAGCTTTATTAATATAATTGTAGGTAAAAGAAAAACAAAATGTTTACATTTTTTTTCTTTGATGATCTTGTTTTAAACTGTTTCACAAAGGCTAATCAAGAATCCTTTTGATTTTAATTACAGCCAGACTGTTACTTCTAATTCAGATTTTGCTTCAGAACAAACACTCATGCATAGGCAGTGTATTAGTCCATGTAACCAAACCAGAGGGCTCAAAACAATATTTGAGTTATGACTTAATTCAAATTACTATAGTCCTCATATATAGTATCAACCACGTTGTAGAACATCATTGGATATACTACATGATTAATGAGTTAGTGGGCTCCTTTGCCTGGCTATAAAATGCTCTCAGTTTAAATAGAAGTTTTAAGCTATTCCCATAACCTTAGAAAAGTTGTTTGTTTTCAATAATGTTGAAAGATGATCTTTATTCATATGCCTCACTTTATTCTGATTTCCAATAATGAACAGAAATTATCAAGAAAAGTTAAAGATATTGTTAATTTAAACATTGTTAAGAAATCCCCTAATATATTAAAAGTACAGGTAGTTCTCATTTAGTGACCATCTCATTTATCAACTTTTTACCTCATAAATATTTGGCTGTTGTCAGTTTTTTAAAAATGTGTTTTTATTAACAAATTCAGAAGGCTGAACTAAAATTTTCTAAAACTGATAGGTTGTATGTATAATAACGGCATTTTCCTTTATTTGAAGGTCATTCTGTAAGATTGCTGGGACAGAAAAAGGATAATGGGAAACGGTTGGGGGGAGCACGACTGGATTTGCCAAAGATTAGAAAGAACCCCCTGATAGAAATCATTTCCATCAATACAGGGTAAGCATCCTTCAAACCGACATAAAATATTCAATACTGCCTAGAAATTCAATTCAGGTACAGTTTACAATAAAAGATTGAAGATGCCAGTGGCAACATTGTAATACTTTAAAGTGCTGGTTATTTGCTTATATTTTAGAGTGTTAAACATTAAAGATATTCGTGTATTTTTATTCTTTTTGGCTTGTTTCCTTGAAAATATATGCAATGCTTGCAATAAGTCATATATTTTTAATAAAACTGGATTCTGAACCATAAATTTTAGCTTTGCTCTAAAACAGTGGTTCTCAACCTGTGGGTCGGGACCCCATTTGGGGTCGAACGACCATTTCACGGGGGTCGCCAAACAAGGCTGTCCGCCATTTTTTCCCCTTTTCTTTGGCCACGCCCCTGGTACCCGGTGATGTATAAGTGGTTGGGGGTCACCACAACATGGGGAACTGTATTATGGGGTCGCGGCATTAGAAAGGTTGAGAACCACTGCTCTAAAACAGCTAGTTTGCTAATTGTTCTACTTTCCTTGAGCAATATATCAGTGAAGAATTCAGTAAATTCTTCTCATGATAGTGCTAAATATTAGATTCCTTGTGCTCAGTTCACAAATTTAAACTTGTTTAAGGAACTAAGAGAGGGAGACATCCCACTAAGCCAGTTGTTTCCTAATTTTTTGGGGAGGGATTTTCTGGAATTCTGAGAATATGGCATGAGAGTTGTTTTGATTGTGTGGCCAATTGTAAAAGGAAAGATCAGATGAGTTGAAAGCCTTGAAGGAAACAAAGGAATGCTCATGGAGATTGTATGTGAGCATACAGCCACAGAGTTAGACCATTGGTTTGTTCAGTTCAGTACTGCAAATGGGCACATTAGATCACAGGAAGAAAATGTAATATATTGGGATCTACATAAGATGTTTTATGAGCTTGGAAGAAATAAGCCCATTCATAATCTTCGGACTTGTCTGTATTCCAGTGGATTTGCCTCAGTTTTAAAGACATGTTGAAACTCAACATCAGCAGAACAGAGATTTTATTGACAGGTTTGGAATTTACAATCTCCCAGACTCCAGAATAGGTAACAAGATAAATATTCATTAGTTTCAGCAGAAGCAATGATTTGTGGTCAGTTGTAGATTTGATTCTCCTTTCTGCATCCCTCCTGCTGCTTTGCTCCAACTCTCTACCCTTCCTGACAGCCCCATCCAACCTAAATCAGTGGTAACAGTATTATCATTATGAATTAAGGTGAATATACGTGTCCCAAGATAATGTTGCAGGATCCAATCCGGGTTGGTCTTCCAAGCTTTCAAATTCATGCTGGAGCCCATCTTCAGGGAAAATTATGTGGTCTCACTGGATCTGCACATTCAATTACAACTGGTAACTGAAAAGAATTTACAGATAATGAAACAGATGCTTTATTACAAGGATTAGAATTAAGTGTCTGTTAATTTCTTTTTCGCATTGGTGCTTTGGACAAATAAATGTCATGGTTTAATTTCCTGATCTCTAGCAGCAGACCATGAATATTTCTGCTTGAGTTTACTCTTAACTTGTGGCATTGGGCTCATGTTACAAGTTCATATCCCTGTGAATTCATTACTGCATTGCTTGTTGTCACGGAGTGTGAAGAGTCATGACAAGATGGTATTGATAATAACTTAGGGATATGTCAATTTTGATGGGCTGTCCTCTCTACCTAATACTTCAAAGCATTCTTGTGTAATTGCCAAACGATCCAGCAGTGCTTTATAAGGAACTTATCCAAAACATAGCTTAATTATTTGCCATTCTAAGTACAGATATTTACGGGATTGTGGTAATTACTTGATTAGACTTCTTTCTTAATCCTGTTCTTGCAAACCAGATTGCAACACAATAATACAAAAGTGTACTGGGTGGTTGAGCTTATTAATAGCCGCTCCTCAATGCATTCTTTCTGTCTTCTCTCTTTACCTTGGCCTATTTGAAGAACAAACTGAACGCTATATAACAGGCTGCCTTGTTCTGCAAGCCCTGTTAACTAGAACTTGCTCAAACAGAATATTTCTTAGAGCATTTGTGTTCTTAACATTTGCATATAAAAAGAAACTCCTAATACTTTAATCCATATCTAAGAAAAATTGCTAATCATTTTACAACCTGTTATAGGCAGATTTATTTAGACATCGTGCATATTGTTTGTGGTGGAACTCACTCTTAAATAAGTATGCAGATGATTGCACCCACAGTAACATGGACTTCATTTTATACTCATTCATATTGAAAATGATTTTTTTTGTAATCTATGTTTTCTTAAATCTTGCTTATATGACAAATGAATTTCATACTTGGAATGAGACTCATGGATAAAATTTGTCTAGTGACGTAAAGTGCTGCACTAGAATTGACCTTTATTTTCCTGGTAGAAAACTCTCTTTGTTAGTATAAAGCAGAACTTTCAAGGGCTGAAGCAAATGCTGACTGTTTAGTTTAAACAAAAGCTAATTATTTCTGTGGTTTTCTCCTGCTCCCATCCAGTGTTCAAGATCTTTCTTTCTAAACTAGTCCCTTCCTGATGCATTTTTAGATTTGTAGATGAAGGTTTCTAGAGGGCACTAAAGTGGGGAAGACTGTTTTTTATGAAATACTTTTTTGGCTGTTGCCTTTTTATGTGCCAGACTTTCTTATGGATACTTCACTAAAACGAATGTTAAATTCTGTGGTTGTGTTCACTCAACATTGTAAACTATAATGTGGTTTGTTGGGCTGCGGGTTAGCATGATTTGTGAACCTTCTTGTATCGGTTGGTGAATCATAGCCAATTATGGCATACTCAATAAGTAAACAAAAGAGTTAAACAAGTCAGTCGGGACTGTTGTCTAAACTAGGTAGCAACTGGTTTTGACAATACTTCAGGAGATTAGTCCATGAGATGCCATGGAATTTACTCTCAGAAAAACAAAAATGGCTCTTTCATTATTAAAAATAAATAATACATTTGTCCATCTTTCTTTTTTGTATTACCTCAGCAGACCTGTATTGCCCCTTTTTTCTCCCCCATAGTTATGTCTTCAAATCTCATTGCCTGTTCATCAGAACATTAATCATGTTCCATGGACTATAGGACACTTCCTAACCCTTTTAATGCAAGCCAAAGCCTCATCCCCAAATGAAAAGTAAAGCCATTCTCGCATTGTATCAGGGAGCGGGGTAAGGGGGTCTCAATGATTAACACTTACCAAAGTGTTGTGATTGACTGGGAGAAGGAAATGTTGCTCTTCATTTCTGTTATTGGTGCAATTGTAAGATTTAGATTTTCCCTTAACTATGATTAGACTAACTTCTTCAAATAACCAGTTTTTATGAACTTGAGCAAACTGGCTGGCTAGATAAATCAATATGACTTGACTTTGGTATGAAATCAGTCAACATAATTCATGGAAATAGTAGCTATTTTTCACTTGCTCCCTCTCTTAATGTTCTTACTCCTTTAAGTAGCTTTGCTGTACTTCCACTTTCTCTTAGTCCTATGTGACTTAGAGGGGGGCAAGAGGGAAAAATTAGTCTTCCTTGAGCCCGATAGAAAGCTAGCCCATGAGTTATGCTTTTTCATGCTGAGTCTGGTGTGTCCTTCCTAATGCTCCATAGTATGCTCCACAAAACTCCCATTCTGATGCTTCTGGGCCTTCAATTGGCCATTTGTTCTTCCTGCAGGGACCTCCCTGCAGCCCTGTGCCTGCTTTCCTCCATCAGCTTCCCTCCTTATCCTTGATTTATATGCAACATTTTCAGTTTGAGTAGCACAAACACAACCACCTCCACTGCCTAATACATGTGTCTCCAAACTTGGCAACTTTAAAACTTGTGGGTTTCAACTCCCAGAATTCCTTAGCCAGCATGATTGGCTGAGGAATTCTGGGAGTTGAAGTCCACAAGTCTTAAAGTTGCCAGGTTTGGAGATCCCTGGCTTAACAGATCATCTCTGCCTGTTCAGAGATCTGAAAACCTTCTCACTGGCTACATGACATGGAAAACAGACAAAAAAAAAAAACCCTTCTCAAATGGACAGCAAATTGCAATACCATCTCCATCAAGGCAACTCACCCTCTCATAGGGTCACAGGCTATCTATCCAGTACTGCAGAAGATGGAGCTGAGATTTAAACCTGTTTTGAGGACAGCAAAATGGGTGCCTTTAATCTTTCCATGAGAAAAAATAGAGTTGATCTTTTGAGAACTTTTTTTGTTTTTCAAAAGCCTGAAATAGAGTCAACCTTACTTTTCCTCCAGCCACTAAAAATAATTTGACAGCTTCCATTGCAGTGCAGCTTTGGAGCTTGCAAAAAGCACTGCTGGGCCATCACTGCTTATATTACTGAAACATTCTAAATAAATAGCAGCACCAGAACTGAATCTGTATTTCAGTGCTTGGAAAGAGCAGCCCACATTTTAAATGAAAGGATGCTTAGTTGATTAAAATTCTGACATTCCTATGCAATCAATCAAGTATTCATCCTGGATGATAAATATGTATTACAGTAGCATTTTAATAATTATCATACATTTATTTCACCCCAAACACAAACTTTGAATATAGGTTTTGATTAAAACATGCAAAACCTGAACTTCATAATATTTGATGAGAGTTAATCATGTTTAGAGTACATCATTTAAATTTAAATCATATAAATTAGGCTAGCTTAGTCACATTGGCCTTCAGGGATCTACCCTAACAATGACTCATCCATGCTATATCTCCATGAAATTATTTATCGTAGTTCCCTTCTTTATTCATCCTTAAAAATCTCAAACAGAGGAGTGTTCCTATCTGCCTATAACTTTTAGAAGTGTGATACTTTGAACCATGCAATAGCATCAATAATGGGTATCAGCATTCATGCTATCAAAGATAAATAGCAATTCCAAAGTGAAAAACTCTTAAATTTGCCTTCATTCGTGAAAAAAAATCTATTTACAAATCATGACCTGTTTGTATATATATATATATATTATTATGTTGAAG